TCCTGGCTACCAAGGGTGCCTCGCGCATCCACTTGATGAGATATTCTAGAAAGCATGCACACATTGATTTCGACTTGGGCTGTTGGTGGGCGGTGTGCAGCTTGCGGTGGCAATTTCCATCTTCGAGAACGCCTCATTGCTCACCTCCTGCGCCGCCAGGTCTGTTCTGACGTGCACTCCACGGCGGGACACCGATACACGATTGCCCCAACGGGAGGAGGAGGATCGACAACGCTACGAGGAGCGCAGCGAAGCAGGCCGCAGGGCCAATTCCGCACTGCTGCCAGCTATCGGCGTCGGAGAGACGGGTTTCCATTGCCCGTTGCTGCCGGCCCGCCTACCCGAGGACGCCCTGCCGCTGGCCGCCCAGACACCGACGCTCATCTGCGTGGACTAGGACAAGTTGGACAGGGACGACGACGAGAGGGACTTCACTATCGTTGGCTCCATCTGCAGGACCTCGACACGGACCTGTGCGTCTTCTTGCGCCTGTTCAGAGGTCGGCGCCGCCAGTGCGACCTCCAATTTGCCATCGAGGCAAGTCTGGACAGGCCCGTCATCGTGCTGGCATTGGGCCAGGCGAGCGCTTCCGTGCTCGGAGATCTACTGCGTCTCGTGACGCTCAGCTACTGGATCAGTTTACTCTGGGCCTCGCGTGCGGCTGGTGTGCGCGCGCTCCGTGCGAGTCCTGGTTGTGCGCCAGGTGGGTGCGCCTTGACGCCTAATTCGCGCCCAGGACCCTGACCAGCGCGCGATCGTGAAGACCACCGGGGTCGCAAAAATCTCAGCCTTCGAGAGGGTGCCCATGTGGCTACTGGCCATTGGCTGCTACGCACGGCCTAGACGCTCCTGCTGGAGGCTGTTTGTTTGGGAGCGCCGGCCACTCAAGCACCCAACAGCGCCGACCTCGCGCCCGAGTGCAATATCATGTTTTCGCTTCCACGCGTGCAGCTGGTGACCTCCGACCGGTGTGCATTCGGTAACCGCTTTCTCAAGCTCGCGCCCCTCACGACCGCCAACATGCCTTGGACGGCCGAGGGGGTGACTCAGCAGCGGGCACCTCACGGCAGCGGACGCTGCTGCCACAGCAGCGGGCGTCTCACGGCTCCGGGCACGGGCGACGCAGGCGCTTTCCGCACCTCGCCTTTCAAGGAGCACCTCGCTGCCATGTGCAATTGGCTGGCCCCCCTCTGGTGGCGCTGGCATGACTCTCTGCCGTGCCGCCTGCCTCCCCTAGAGGCCCCCGAGAAGGTTGGCAATGTCAACGCACCGCCCGATCCTTGCGTGGACTTCGCCAAGGCTGCGGACCACGCCCACGGACGACAGCGGCTGCCATAGGCGGCAGTCTGTTGCCGCGCCCCTCGTGCTGCTCGACGACTTCGGTTCGCGGCGCGTGGAGGATTGAGGAACGAGCGCAGCGGCACGCTCACCACCCGAGGGGGCGACGGCGATGATGAACTCGCCGTTCAGGTGGGCGCCCTCCAGGATGAGGAAGTGGTTGTGCTGGGAGGCGCCGTGGGCGCCAGTGCGGTTGAAGAAGGCAGAGGCCCAGCGGCAGGCGCTGGGCCTCTGCCCGAGGCGCCGCGTCGCACGGGCGCTGCCCGTCACGTCGACGGGCGGCCCCCGCCCTGGCCAGAGAGAAGGGCGCGGCCCCGCGGGCGCTGTGGCCGCAGCGCCTCCCGCGGCGCCGCGCGGTGCGGCCCGCGGCTCGCCCGCGGCTCGGCCGCGCCGCTCGCGGCACCGCCCCCGCGCTGCTTCCGCCGCGCGCGGCCTCTGGAGGAGCGGCCGGCCCCCCGCGTGGGCCCGGCGCCTCCGGAGGCCGCCGCCTTTGCCGCAGGCCCCGGGAGGGGCAGCGGAGCTCCCCCCCCCCACCGGGGGCCCAGCGCCGCCAGAGGCCGCCGCCCGCCCGGGCGGTCGCTACCGAGCGTGCGGCGCCCCTGGGTAGGCCCGCGCGGCGGCGGGCGGTGGAAAAAGAGAGAGAGAGAGAGAGAGAGAGTATGCGCCCGCCTCGCCTCGCGGTCGTATTGAGTCAGGAGGAGGAGGAGGAGGAGGAGGAGGAGGAGGAGGAGGAGGAGGAAGGAGGAGCAGGAGGAGGAGGAAGGAGCAGGAGGAGGAGGAGGGAGGAGGAGGAGGAGGAGGAGGAGGAGGAGGAGGGAGGAGGAGGAGGAGGAGGAAGGAGGAGGAGTAGGAGTAGGAGTAGGAGAAGGATTAAGAGTAGGAGTAGGAGTAGGAGTAGGAGTAGGAGTAGGAGCAGCAGGAGCAGCAGGAGGAGGAGGAGGAGGAGGAGGAGAGGGTCACGGTCGGAATCTTTTGGATTGGCGTGTCGTTCCGACGGTTTTGGCCCACTTCCCACGTCCAAGCTTCAACGTCCCAAGCCTTGCCGAGCCAACCTTTTCAAGTCCCACGTCCCCAAGTCCGAGCTTCAACGTCCCAAGCTTCAACGTCCAAGCTGCAACGTCCCAAGTCCAAGCTGCAACGTCCCCACGGAGCGGAGCGACAAGCTATCCGCTCTCAAAGGGTAAGATGATCAGCAATGATGTGGGGCCGCCGCAATGATGAGCAAACGCTCCCTGACCGTAGTCTTTGCCTTCGTCGTCGCCGTTCCGTGGTCCCTTCACGTTCTTTCCCCGCACAGGTTGGCCGGAAGATCTAGACGGACTCCGCTCCTGGGGGCCCCCCGCCGCTTTCGTGACATGTTTTGGAGCTTTGTTCGAGCCCCCCCAGAGCGGCAACGACCGCTGGGGGGAGGCAGCGTCAGCAGTGGGGGTGGGCGCGGATCCCTTCTGATCCCGCTGCCCCACTGCTTCTTGATGCTACGCCCCCCGCGATCTCAGTCACACTGACGAGTGGGCCATTTTTGTCATTTGATGCGCTTCCCCTTTGACCCCCATACCTCCCCAAAAAAACACTTGAAACCAAATGGGGCTAGCCAAAGCGAACCCCCCAAACGTTGCCAACTTGGGCCCCTCTGGTAGCTTCTTTCTGGCATTGTGTGTTGTCTGCGTTTGGGGCCATATCGAGGCTCTCTTGGGTCCTTCTGCAGGGCTTTCGGGCCTTGTCGGGGCTATCTTGCAGGACGTCGGCCAAACAGCGTGGTAGTGGAGGGGACTATTCGGCGCCTCCCCCACCAAACGTCCAACCAAAACATGCCTAGGAACATTACCCCACGACGAACACCATATTGTTCGAGGATTTGGGTCTCTTGCGGGCATCCTGGGAAGGCTTGGGGACGACCCGATCTTCGTGCCACGGTTGCGCCTTCTGAGGCCTTGGTGGAGGCATGCTTCGATGCCATGATAACAATATTGAGCCATGTTGGTGGCCATCTTGAGCTGCACGGGGGCCACATTATATGAGGCTTTGGAAAACGTGGGCAATCTGACAAACCGCGGCCGAGGGGCTGGGCTAGTGCAAAGGGTTCCCCACCCGAAGGGGACAATAGGGCTGTCGTGGCAGACCCGCTCCCTTGAACCACCTGCGCCCGTGCCGCTGGTGGGACCACTCAAGGATAAGGGTTACCGCAGACTGGTGGGAACCCAATTATATGATACGAAGAGGGGAAGAATCGGGATGCCAATGAAGATGATGTTGCTGGTGGTGATGATGATGGTGATGCTGATGCTGATGCTGATGCTGATGCTGATGCTGCTGATGATGATGATGATGATGATGATGATAATGCTGATGATGATGATGATGATGATGATGATGATGATGATGATGATGATGATCCCGCTCTCCCAGGGGGGCCGCTGCCGACGTGCACACTCCCCCCGCTGCTGCTACATTAGCCCCTGCTCCCCGCTCGCTCCCTCGAGCGCGATCTCTCGCGCGGCGGGAGGGGGGACGGGGCGCCGAGGTCGGCCTCCACCCCCCCTTTGGTGGGGTGGAGGCCGCGCTTCATTCTGCGGAGCCCTTCGGCCTGCCTGCCCGAGAGCGGCCGAAGCGGGCACTCGTCGCCGAGTGCCATGACCCGACGACTGCGGCTAAACCCGCCGCACACCACACAAAAGGCGAGGTCCCTCGCCCTCCACATCTTGTGCGACGGGTGGAACCTCGCGTTCCACCAGGGGGGCCACGTTTCGCCGAGACCAGGTCCAGGCCCAGGAGGTCCCCGCGACCCGGCCGACCCCGCCCCCTGTGGCCCCCCTGGTGGCAGAACCCCCTCGCTGGGAGGGTTCTCGACCAAACTACCTTGCGCTGGAGACTGCTGCTCCTGCTGCTGCTGCTGCTGCTGCTGCTGCTCCTCGTCCCCTCCTCCGCTGGCCTCCCCCCCGCTCGCTGCGGCGGCTCCTGCTACGATGCCGAGGAGCACGGCCGCGCCTGCGCCTGAGCCCTCGGTTCCCGAGGCGGGCGGGGGCGGTGGCGGCGGGGGCGGGTGGGAAAAAGCGGGGAGAGGACGGCCGCTCGCCGCGCATCCGAGGCAGCACCAGATGCGCCTCGACCCGACGAGAGCCGACGAACCGTGCCTCTCGCACGCGCGGGCTGAGCAGCGGCCGCAAGGTACGATCGCGCGCAGGCGGCAACCAGGAGCAGCACATCTAATTAGCTGAAGGCCAGGCGCCGCGTAGCCGTCACTCGCCGTGAGCCAGCTGCTGCCCTCCTGCAGCGCCAGGCCGAGCATCCTGCCCAGGCTCTCGCCCCACTCGTCGGCGATGCTCGCAGCCTCGACCAGCGCGGGGAACGTGGGGTGGATGCTGGCGCCCTGCTTGGCCCTACAGTCGGCGAGCTTGTTGCCCCGCCGCTTCCACTCCGTGGAGGACCCGACCAGGACGTCGTACATCGTGGCGTGCCCCTTCACCTTGGTGATCTGAATGCCGTCCCTGCCAATGTCGTGGACCCGCTGCCAGAAGACGGCCCACAGGGCCCTGTAGGGCCTAGACCAGCACAGGCACCAATCCTCGCCTGCCTCCCAGCCGTCCACAAGCAGCTGCGAGTCGCTGAAGAGGTGCACGGGCGGGAGGCAGTGGGCCAGGGCCTCGCCCCAGGATCGACGAGACCTCGGCGCCCGTGTGGTCCGTCGAGCAAGCTGCCCAGCCCGCTCGAGCCGGAACTCGGTCCTGGACATGGATCGCCGAGCCGTCCAGGAAAACCTCGCCATGGAGTGGCTCGCCTGCCCTCGGCCCCGTCGTGCGCACGATGCGCGCCGTGAGCGGCAGGGGGAGGTCGCTGCGCGGGCCCTGGGCCAGGCACCGCGACCAGATGGCGTGCTCCGCGTCCGAGTCCAGCGGGCCGCCCGTGTCGTAGAAGTAGCGGATGTTGAGGTCGTCCAACTTCCACTGCCTGCGGGGGCCGTCCAGCGCGGGACAGGCCCAGACCAAGTGCCTGACTGTCCCCCTCTCCTCTCATCCAGCTGGGCAGCGCCCCGAGCTCGCGAGCGGGGGGTCTGCCAAGGCTCGGCGCTGGACGGGCCAGAGGCAGCCCACGATGGCGTTCCTGGCCGAGGACCACCGCGAAGCGAGGGCGTGGTCGGCACACCGCCTCGCCAGCCGCTTCCTCAGGCTGTTGATGGCCGCGCCGCCCTTCAGGTGGCCCAGCAGCGGGTCGTGGCTCGCCGCGCCCCTCCAGAGCTTCCTGATGAAGGCGGCCTGGACCTCGCGGTGGATCATGTGCTTGTCGATCTCGCCCAGGTCGAGGATCCTCCCAAGGTCGTCCGTCCAGCGCCTGATGCGGTCGGGCCTCCAGCCGAGGCGCACCGCGGCAAGGGCCGCTGCGGAGGCTGGGCCCCCCCCCGCCAGGCTCTCTGGCCCGCTGGCGGAGAGGCGCTCCCGCGCCGCCGCAAAGGCCGAGCCGAGGGCGCGCCTGTCTTGCTCCTTGACCAGCTGCAGCGCCCTCGCCCACGCCTCCAT